ACAATATCCGGGGCAGGGAGTTATTCCTCTGGAAACTCCAACAGATTATACTAATATTTATAGCCTTTATAAGAAAGGAAGGGAGGGAGGGAGGGAGGGAGAGGGGGAGGAAAGAAAGGAGGAAATGTCTTCTTTCAATCACTTTCAGTTTGGAGCGTGATATGAAGTGTTCTCAATTGACAGTCCTTGTCTGGATATCCATTTCTAAACTTTTCTAAGCTCAGGCTTGACATGCTGAGAGCATCCCCAAGGCTTACTCATCTTTCATTGAGCCTGGAACTTGAGGTATCTGTATGAAAGCCAAGTTCTGAGTAAACCTGAGACTATTTACAGTTTCAGGTGGGAATCAGGTGCTATTCAAGACTAATAGACTATGTATTTAATGGTACTTGAATTATGAGGCATTTAGGAGTGAGGGGAGCCCCACTGCTGGAAACTGAACTTGACGAGCACCCCATTTAGCTTTGTACATCTCCCACTGAGAACCCAGCCCCCTGACTTAACACGCAGTGGATACTCAATAAATGTCTGTGTGCCATGTAGAAATACTACTGACTATAACTTGAGACATACTTTCAGGCTTCTAGAGTTAAAAATTGACAGTCTCACCAGAAGAGCCAGAGCAATCTTGAGAGAGAAGAATGAAGCTGGAGGCATCACAGTCCCTGATCTAACTATATTACAAAGATATAGCAATCAAAACAGTACAGTATTGGCATAAAAACAGACACATAGATCAATGGAGGAGAAGAGAGAGCCCAGAAAGAAACTCATTCACATATAGCCAATTAATTTATAAGAAAGGAGCCAAGAATACACAATGAGGAAAGGATAGTCTCTTTAATAAATGGTACTGGGAAAACTGGACAGCCACATGCAACAGAGTGAAATTGGACCCCTATCTTACACCATACACAAAAATTAACTCAAAATGGATTTAAAGACTTGAATGTAAGACCTGAAGTCATAAAACTCTAGAAGAGAACATAGGCGGTAAGCTCCTTGACATTGGTCTTGGCAATGACTTCTTAAGTCTGACACCAAAAGCAAAAACAAGCAAGTAGGACTACATCGAACTAAAAAGCTTCAGCACAGCAAAGGCAACCTACTGAAAGGGAGAAAATGATTGCAAATCAAATATCCAATGAGGGGCTACTATCCAAAATATATGAAGAACTTACAACTCAATCACAAAAAAACAAACAATCTAATTAAAAAATGGGCAAACAATCTGAACAGACATTTTTCCAAAGAAGACAAACAGATGGCCAACAAACACACGAAAAGATGCTTAATATCATTAATCAACAGGCAAATGCAAATCAAAACCACAATGAGATCTCACCTCACACTTACTAGAACATCTATTACCAAAAAGACAAGACATAGCAAGTGTTGGCAAGGATGCAGCAATTTCACTTTTAGGTATTTATCCTAAGAAAATGAAAACACAATTTGAAAAGATAGATGCACCCCCATGTTCGCTGAAGCATTATTTACAATAGCAATATATGGAAACAACCTAAGTGTTCATTGATAGATGAATGAATAAGGAAGATGTGAATATTATTCATGCATTAAAAGGGAACATTATTCGGGGTGCCCGGGTGGCTCAGTCGTTAAGCGTCTGCCTTCGGCTCAGGTCATGATCCCAGGGTCCTAGGATCAGGCCCTGCATCAGGCTCCCTGCTCAGCAGGAAGCCTGCTTCTCCCTCTCCCACTCCCTCTGCTGTGTTTCCTCTCTCTCGTCTCTCTCTCTCTCTGTCAAATAAATAAATAAAATCTTTAAAAAATAAATAAATTAAATAAAAGGGAATATTACTCATCCATAAAAAAGAATAAAATCCTGCCATTTACAGCAACATGGATAGACCTCAAGGGCATTATGCTAAGAGAAAACTGAAATAAGTCAGACAAAGACAAGTGTCATATGATCTCTCTTTTATATAGAATCAAGAAATAAAAATAAAACACAAACTCATAGATACAGAGAACAGATGAGGGTTGTAAGAAGCTAGGAATAGAGGGTGGGAGAAATGGGTAAACTGTTCTGGCTTTCTAGTTTAAATAAATTGTATAAAAATTAAAAAATAAAAAGACCCCATCTACAAGAAATAAAGTAAAATAGTTATGAGGGTATAGAGCATGACAACTATTGTTAATAATGTTGTATTGCATATTTGAAAGTTGCTGAGAGAGTAAATCTTAAAAGGTCCCACCACAAGAAAAAAGAAGTTGTAACTACGTATGGTGATTGATGTTAACTAGACTTATGTGATGACCATTCATAATACATACAAATGTTGAATCATTATGTTATGAGGTCATAAAACTCTGAAACTAGTATAATATGTATATATGTAATATGTCAATTACACCACAGTTAAAAAAATTTTTTGACAGTTCCTTCTTCATCCCCTCCTCTTCCAAATGCATCCCTTAAGGTGGTATTTTGCTCTGCTAGGAGAAATTTTATGAACTCTGTGTATGTGTGTATTTAGGTATGTGTTTCCTTCACTGCACAACTGCTGTTGCTAGACACAAACTGAGGGAGAGAGAGCCAGCTGAGATTTTCTGAGATTAAGACCAAAAGGCCTATAGTGGTGGGCACAGAAGTCAGGCGTGGCCTTGCTCCCCCTAAAAATTAAGTATCTCTACCTTACAATGTGGGGATGGTGCCATCGAGTTCAAGATGTTATGAAAAAGCAGGAAAAATTACTGTACTCATACTGCCTGGCTTTAAAAAAAAAAGTAAGACCTGATCAAACTGAGGTTAGCTCTGTCTCAACTATTGGTAGCCTTTAACCCACTAGTAGAAGCAGAGCGGTTGATGAAGATGTTAAGTCTGAAAAAAACAGAAAGGCAAAGTCAAGGTGGAGGTTCAGAACTTCTTTGAGTCCTTTTAGAGAAAGGTTATCAAGATTTGCATAGGGAACAATAAGAAAGTGCTTAAGGGCAATCTTAGTCAATTAGAATCTGTTTTTCTAAGATTAGAATTTGACATTTTTGATTCTAGTATAATTAAAATTATCTATAACACCCTGCAAGTTGAATACTAAACACTAAACATAAAACTAAGTCCTTGGGAGAAAGAAGAGAAGGAACCTGGGAAAACAGACCACAGAAAGTAGAGTTTATCCAACCCCTCAATTTACAATTGAGGAAATTGAGTCTAAGACAGTTTAAACAAATTAGTATCTGGGATCAGACTGGTCACAAATGAAAGGAATTTCCAACGAAGGTGACGTGAGGTCTAGCAGAGGTATTTTGGGCAGGCAGAAATTCCAATGTTCTTCATAACAAGCTGTGTTTATACACACCCCAGTGTCGCTGTTTTTAGAGATACACACAGTATGCAAATATATCTTAAAATTCTCAAGCCAACCTTAAATGCTATCATGCACATAATATGGGGAGGGATAATGTTCCCATTCACGGCATTCCTTAGGTTTGCTAAGGTTATTTGTGCTAAGCAGACAGACTGCCTTGGCAAAAATAAGGCAATTATCTGTATAGGTCAAGAAAAGGTTGACCCAAACTATCCTAATACAGTAATTGCCTCTATTTTCCACTTAATTGCCATATATTCTTCTGAAATTCCTGGAACAGTCTGTGCTGCTATTCCGATATCACACGCGCGGGCACACACACGCACGCACGCCGTGAAGCCAGATCTCTCTCTCCTCCTGAGCAAAGAAAAACAGAAGAAATGCTTGATTCTATGGTTAACCCATGAAGGGAGTGTCTCCATTTCCATTAGGATCTTCTTGCTTGCTGTTTCCCAGAGTGCCTGGCTTCCAGTGTACCAGTCGCTGACACAAGGCAAGTTGCCCCTCCCACTAAGATGAAAGTAAATCCAAAGTTCGGAGAGAGAACAAGAACGGGAGGTGGAAAGGTAGAGGTATGATACTGTCTAAGGTACTGTAATTAGTGCTGTGAGCTGAAACAGCTTCCTGTGGGTGATTATCAGCTCAATGTGGCTTGTTTGGAGAAGTAATTAAGATACTATTTATGTAGGCTCCTAAGTGAAGCTTGAGTGTCTCTCTTGGTCCTTTGAGTAAAAAGATGTCTCTGTGTTTTCTTCCAAATAAAGCTATATTGCAGCTAAACAATTTATCTTGTCTCCCAACAAAGCTTCTGAATCTAATTCCTGTTATATCTTCCTAAAATACAGTGAACTAACTACAAGGAAGGAAAAACTCAACTATCCCCACATGCTTGAACTCAGTTTGGGCTGTTACATTATTGACTCATCTAACTTGAACTGTTAAGCAAGGGAATGGCATAACTCTTTGATATTTAAACTCTAAATTATTTCTGAGCTGATTTTTCCAACTCAGCTGTATTTGTAGACATCAGCATGTCAACTTAGTGAAGTCGTTAAGTGCATCTCTAGGAAAGTGATGTGCTCTCCATTCCCTTCATGGGGAATGGGAAGTATCAGAATCTCCAATAGGGAATCTGTACTTACTATTAGCAGTCACCCTTGTCTTGAATATCTCCTCAGTGTAGATTAGCAGGGTAAATATATAAGAACCCAAAGAAATACACAACTATCTGTGTAGAAATACACAACCCAAAGAAATACACTATAAAATGTGTCCTCTCCCTCAATTTAATTGGGAAAACAAGGCATGTCCATAAAAAAAGATAAGAACAGTAATAACACAATGCAAGGTAACAAACCTCAAAGAAAGTTCTACAGACCATAAGAGTTACAGGTGTTCACAAAGCAATAAATCAGAAGTTACCAAGGGCTGAAGAGGTGACATTTTTTTTTCTTTTTTCTTTTTTTTTTTTTTTTTTTTGCCTTGATCAGGGAAGCCCTAAGCAAGGTTTCCCAAATTTTTTTTAAACATTTGTTCCAGCTTCCACAACATTCGATTCCCATCCCTTGTGATTCAACTGATCCAGGCCAGGTAGGGGTCCAGGGGTGAGAGTGCATTCCAAAGTAGCATAAAGATAGAAAGAAATTACCCTTGATTTCTGAATGTCATCTCAAACTTACATGATTATTTTTTGCGTGTCATCCTTGCTCAGGGGCCATGCTAATCTTCTCTGTATCATTCCAATTTTAGTATATGTGCTGCCGAAGTGAGCACTACATGATTATTTTTTAAAGGGTTTCTCTTCAGTCTACCTTGGGAAGGAAGGCAGCCACCTTGAGGTTCTTTTCCCCCACTGTAGCTTTCAGCAGATCCTATATGGGGGTCCTCTCTAGGAATGAGTAAAAGTCACATGAACTGGTGAGTAAGGGACAGGCAAAGCTAGGTAGGAATAGACAGGTAGGGGGCTAGGTGACTAGGCTACACAGGAGGCTGGCTATGTAACCAGAATCACAGAAATCTCAGATGTGAAGAAAGAGAAGGGAACATAACAAATCCCCCTTGTTTTTTCTAAATATAGATGTGATACTCACCTGATAGTTATAAATCTATCTTGTTAGCTTTAAATATAAACAGGATATTTTCATGATATTTACAAATCCACCTTGTTTGTGGTAAATGTTATAGATAAGGTATTTACCAAGTTCCCTGGTCAGTTTTCTATAAAAGACCAACCATAAAAGCCCTCGGTGGCCACCCATTCCAGTTGCCTCTCACTTTAGAGAGCTTTTTTTCCTTTCCTTTCCTTTCTGTTCTCACCTTCAGTTAATAAATTTTCATTTCACTTCACCCTTTTGTGTTTTTAAGATTCATTCTTCAATTCCATGAGATAAGAACCCTGCAACACTGGGACCCCACCAGGAGCTGGCAGATGAGTATCCATTCCCCAACAGGTCTCCAAGCATGACCAGACTTCGAAGAGTGAAAGTTTTCTTCAAAAAGAAGCATATGAAAACATCTAAAACCAACAGGCCCTTGATGTGGTACTCAGAAACATTGCCCAAATTTTCCTCTTGCAAGTCCTATCTATATGAAACCATTTGTTTATATGAAAACTTTTAAATATATATTTTAGTCATTTTGTGTTTATAGATTCCTGGATGACTAAAGTTCTCAGTTTTCACCCAAATGTGAGGTTGGAGTTTCAGTTCTCTACCCAACTAGTCAGTAAATTTGACACTTTTGAGGTCTGTCTTCAATTTAATAGTAAAAACTATTCATTAGAAATAGTATCCAGAAAAAAAAAAGAAAGAAAGAAATAGTATCCAGGTGCCACATAATCAGATTTAAGATTAAGATACCATTTTTCAAAAAAATATATATATATATAATTTATACAGAACTATAATAATGAGTTTGTATGATTAAGTGGGAAGATGCATTAGTTGAGATTAAGGAGCAAAATGGATTTTAAAAATACTCTGCCTTCCATCCGGGATTGTTGGGTAGATCAATTTAAACTATTTGTTTCAGGGGCACCTGGGTGGCTCAGTCAGTTGAACATCCAACTCTTGATTCTGGCTCAGGTCATGATCTCTGGGTCATGAGATCGAGCCCCACATGGGTCTCTGCTCTGGGCATGGAGACTGCTTATGATTCTCTCCTCTCCCTCTCTCTTCCCTTCCCAAGCATGCATGTGCTCTCCCTCTCTCTCTCTCTTAAATAAATAAATGAATAAAATCTTTAAACTGTCTCAAACTAGAAATACCTAAACAAATTTAAATTCTGAAAGTAAGGATTATTGAACACCAACCTCAGCCCCCACTAGCTGAGTCCTTCAACCTTTTCTCCTGATTCTTATTTGAAGAATGTAAAAAATGGCTCCACACTTGTTCTGATCACCTTACAATATCATCCTGAGGATCAAATTATTAAAAGAATGTAAAAGTTCTTCAAAAAAATTTTAAAGCATTTTGCAAGTGCTAGAGTTCAGATAAAAATATAAGGTAATTAGCCATCTAGCTTTAAAAGTTTAAAAAAAATGAGTGTAGTATCAGTGAAAAAATGTAGCTTAATTATAACAATATCTTTCTCTACCCCAAAGAATTAAAGAGTAAGGATATTGAGTTCTCCACTTAGTACTCATAAAATCTTCATCTACTCAGACAAGTTAAAAAGGTAAATGCATTCCCATATTCATGATTGCTACTTGTTTTATAATACAGTCACACTCATATGCTATTTCTTTTCTAATTTCCACATTTCCTTAGGATCTTGAAAATAAAATGACTTTGGTGTATGAAACTATCTTTTAAGAAAGTGAAACTACAGTAGGCATTTCCTTTAAGGTGCTAATCGAAAATCATGAGTGAATTCCATGTATGACATTAGTCGTCTCAGGTTTACCTCCTAATAGAGTATATGTACCTATTTTTTCTTCTCTGTTCTTAAAATTGCTTTTTCATGTTTGTTCAGTTATTCTTGAAATACCAATAAAATGATAAAGAATACCATTAACAGTTCTCGAGTGTTTATCATGTGCCAGGCACTGGGCTGAGCCCTCTTACATTTCACTTTACAGTAACCTCATGTATGTATCCTTACTATACAGTGAGAAAAATGAGGCCAGAGAGGTTAAACAACTAGACCAGTGTCACAAAGCCAGAACCAGAAGGGTGCGGATTCCAAGTGTACAGTGAACCCATGGCATGATGCAGCCCCTCAGTCTCTTTCTCAATCTTTTCATCTCATGGCAGGTAAAGTTTTCTTTATTCATCAATCTTGATTACAAGTGGTTGTACTTATTCCTTCAACAGCTTGGGTGAGTGGGTCACAGAGGTCTAGCACTTCTCAAATAGACCCCAAAGTCACTTTTACCATCACAGCTGTTCTGTCCCTGTCCAACCGTGGGTCTAGCACCATAAGTGAGAATCTACTAGTGTGTACCCCATGCTTCTACTTCTCTTTCTACTGAGACCCTTGCTCCTGAGCCTAAGAATACCCCACAGCCATAGCAGTGTCAAGGTTCTACTGTAGAATCTCAAAAGGCTTTTGAGATGTTTGACACGGTACCATAACTAATATAGGCAACATTATCTCAGCAAGTAGTTGCTCTTCCTTTTTTCATATATCCTGTTTGCAAATCCAAACACCAGTCTTATATTAAATCTGAAGGATCACTGTATCAAGTGTCAGTTTGTAGAGATCTAATAATAGAAAGGACTTATCTGAAGTCCACCTGCCCCCATCCACTGGGTGGTGCCCCCCCACCCCCACCCCCATCACTCAAAAGATACAGGCAGTATCCAGCTCTTAGGTTTCTGCTACTACAGCTTCTCTGTGCTGATGAAAACCAGTTTCAGGTCCCAAATCTAATTGCAGTACCAGTTAAACCAAAGCTTGGTATCTAAAGATGGTAACAAAGCAAAACAGAAGTTCTTCAAGATGCCCAGTACTCCCCATAGTGAATACTGATACAGAGATACTTTCATAGGCTTTCCCCTTGACAGTTTCTTTTTAAGAAACTTTGAGAGCAGAGGACAAAATAAAAATGTTCCCTCTTAGTAACTCTTTGTTCAACTTTTAAGCTGAAAAGTTAACAAAATGAAATCCTGCAAATCCTACCAAGATTGAAAACTGAATCTATATACTCTCGGTTAAATGGTTTTACACCTGTTTTATTTCCCCCTGTAAAAGCCAAGTCTTCATGGGTAACATGTTAAATTAGTTCAGAGTGAAAACGCAGAAGTTGATGAATGGATGGAAATTATTTTACCATGAGTGAAGGTAAAGAATATGCACTTAGGGAGACCCCAACCAAAATGAACAGAAGTCCCCTGAGACCGGAGGGGCTAATTATGAAGAACAAGTCAGAAAAGACAGACGTTGAATCTCCATGGTGAAATGAACATCAGCTGTGGAGGACAGCCCTCCATTCTGTTCTGCAACAGACAGCTCCTGTTTACCTTGGTCAGAGCTTGCCGTAAGCTTGTCAGATCTGTACACGTTGGTGTTACTCGGGTATTAATAGGCTGCATTTCACCAACAGCATGAAAGTGTAGCTCTTTCACCCTTCAATCCACTTGGGACTAATTTGAGCAATGCAAGGCATAGTGGCAGGAAGCATGTAAAAATTCCATCCCAGATCTCTGACAGCTTCAGAAACTGGTGTGTTTGCTTTAGGATGTCCAAAACAATTCTGGAACTTCATAATTGAAGAAGCTAACTACAAGACTTAGACATATTTTGAAAAGTGAAGAAGTCAAACTTTTCCTCTTGCCTGCTTCGTCCAGATCAGGGCAGAAAATCTTTCTATCAAACTATCAAATTTTGCCTTTGCGGGATTTATGCAGGCAGTGTGAGACCCACATGTTCCCAAAGCCAAGAGCTTCTGACAATAGGCGTGCAGGCCTGTAGCCTTCACATTGGTGGGCCTCAGCCCTTCCTGGCCATCAAGTAAACATGCAGAGGGTAGAGTTGCAAAGTCCCAGGAGGCAAGGCCACTAGTTAGAGTTTCCAGAGACAGCCAGCAGACCTCTGCCACTTCTCTGCGCTGCCATCCTTCAGCCCCAGGGGAAAACATAAAGGGTTCTGCTTACCAGTCAAACCACACAGACAAATACCAACTGCTCACGGGGCAGTCCAGCCCCAACTTCACAGAGAACAGCTGGTCCCTGAAAGACCAGAACACCAAGAAATTCTCGTAATACAGGCCTCAGCTACCAAGATGCTCTGTTATAGAAATTTCTTTGAATTTCCACATGGGGAAGGGACCCTGTCTGTGTCCTATTGCTGTGAAATACAGAAATCTCCTGCTTTTCAAAAGCTTGTGCTAGGCCACTTTGCTTTTACGAAAACCCTACACGTGTACTAGTTTTCGCTAACCAAAAGAAATCCACGGAGGACTTTTAAGAAAAAAGATGAAAAGCAACAACTGCGTGTACTGTTTGTTTTGCAGCAGGCTGTTACGGAGGCGGTGCGCCTGGAGCAGTGAGCCTGGCCCCACCAAGCTCCTTCCCTAGAAACCACACTCTGCATCTCTGCATCAGCGGCCAGAGCTTCCAGCTGTGTCTGTGAGCGTCTGGGCTTTATCTCCATTAATTTTGTCGTCCATTAGCAAGATGTGTCCTAAGGTATCAGAAAAGCCTAGGAGAAGGTATTTTTGGAGTCTGGGAACACTCAAAATTTTTTCATAAAAATTCATAGTAATTGTTTCTTTGCTTTACAACATTTCAGCTTACGGAAGATTTCTTAGGAGCACTCTACTTTCAGATAGT